TTCTTTTTAATTAAAATCAAATTAGGGTTTGTTTAACTTAATTAATCAATTTCTTTTGTAAGTAAAATGAATTAGATTATTAGGTTAATCATCAAATCTTTTCTATCAAAGATCACCAAAGAAATTCCTTTCCCCTTTCCTTTTAACCGCTTCGTGTATTTTATTAATTTTGTATTTTTTTCCGATTATGTAATTGCACACGGTTTGTAATAGATAATTAGGGTTTTTTATTTTCCTCGTATTTTTTATTATTTGTACCCTCATTCCCGAAGCTCTGTAATAGTGTAGAATTTTACTGTTCCGCACTTATATTTTATGCTTCATATACATTACTGTTAGCTTAATAGGATTGTATGGCAAGATTAAAAGCAAACAGTAGAAAACCCTAATACAAGATTAAAAATAACTGAAACACAAATCATTTGCACACACGCACCTCTAGGGTAACCTCCCTTGTTGCCTTCGATAAACACAGTCATGTCCCTTGAACGCGGGGATGCTTTAGCACTGTCCCTCGACTAAAAAGATTGCAGTCCCTCGATGACCCTTTCGAATGTTGCCTTCAATAAACGATATAGTCTCTTACGAAATTGCTAAAGCGACCCTACGAGTTACCTTCAATGACTGTACAATGACCCACGCCTGTCGCTTCACATCCAACGATAGGGATTCCTACTAACTAATAGTACGGATAACACTATATAAAGGAGAAGGAAAATTACAATAAAGACCTTGAGTAGGTACAATAAAGGAGAAGGAAAGCTATGATGCACAAAAACAAACCCGGATCGAAAATAGTCTATCCGAACCGTTATAAAAAAGACCCGATATGCATTAAACCGATAAAACAAATATGTAAGATGAAAATATTAATCAATATACTTTTAATCTTAATCGTATGAATAAAAACACATAATAGTAATCAATTTCCAATGAAATACCAAGCAAAAATCGACTTAAGCAATTTGTCAAGCACTTGGTGTGCAATCGATTCAAAACAAATTTTTCTATGATTTTGTTGATATGTAAATCCAATTACAATCATATAGATTGTAATCAACTCAACAACACAATTTAAACTATTAAACACATAGATTATCTCAATGTATCGATTGCATAATTAACATTTTCACAATTTGCAAGTAACCGTAAAAGAGATATAAATAAAGAGAGAGACACAAGGATTTGTTTAGGCATTTCCTCAATCGGCCTCATTATAGGTATGTCTTCCCCCAATTTCAATGGAATTGAGATAATGAAAAGTAACCTTTTCAAATGTTGTTTACAAAAGAGAAAGTAGCAATCCAACCCTCCAAACCCTATGGTTGATGTTGATTCTAACTTATACTCTCCCCTTGATCTCTAGCTCGATCAAGTAACCCGATACTTCCAATTTGATCCTCTGATTACCACTAATCCTTTGACAAAACCCACATTATTCAAAGTCTTTGCTCGGCTGAATACAAATTGCAAACATATCGTGACCCAAGATGACTAAAGCAATCCTCCGATTACCGTTACTCATCTGACAAAACCCCCGCTCTTTGAAGCTTTCACTCGATTGAATCCAAATTGCGCAATCTTGTGAAAAACTCCCAAATAAATCCTTGATCTTGGAAAAAAAACTCAAATGAATTTATCTTGAAACCCCCAAAGACTTTTCAACCCAATTGATTACACCAAATCCTAATTGGACCTTATCAAATTATCTCTTGATCACACAACAAAAATGATTATGTGTAGTTATTGTATGTATGCAATGAGAGAGGATGAATATGATGAATATTTTTGTATATTTTTGGTTTCAATAATGACAAATAATGCATGAATGACTATATATATGTGTGAGCGTGTGAAAGAATAAAATAGAAAAAAATAGGGTTGAAAAATTACAAAATTGGACATTTTGAACAGTGGGAGTTGATTCATTTGAAGTGGGATTCAACCCATAAGGAAAGGGAGTCGACCCATACTGTCTGGGAGTCGAATCCAAGTGGACATAATTTTTTTTAAAGAAATATGCTTCAGTAGGAGTCGAGACATAACACATGGGAGCCGACTCCTTCATGTTATGTATCGAATCCAATGGCCTGGGAGTCGACTCATCCTGAACAGGGAATTTATTTTCAAAATGCTTTCAGTGGGAGTAGGTCCACAACTCAAGGGAGTCAACTCCTTAGTGTTATGTGTTAACTCATTTGCCCCTATGTATCGACTTTTTTTCGATAGAGAATTTTCTTTTTAATATGCTTCAGAGAGAGTCGACTCGTAACACAGGTGAGTCGACTCCAAACATGATTTTTCATAAAAATGCATATTTTTGACATTTTAAACTTGTCCAAGTGCTTTTGACTTGATCTAAAAGTGTCATAAGATGAAAATGCAACCTAAACATAGAGATATAAGGTCCAATATACAAATACTACATATTTCTTAGTTTTAATATCATTCAAAACATCTAAGAGAAGATATTGCACTCACATATTTAATGCCTGAGTTGCATTGATATTATGTTTGTGATGTGCATATATGTTGTTGTGTGGTAATCTAGTGAGGGGATTACGAGAGCTGTCAATGCATTATGGTAGGATCAAATATGATCTTAACATATTGATATTGATGATAAGATCATGCATCATTTGAGTTGTATCAAGAGGCATGTTCGCTACTTCAGAGAGGGGACTCGTGGCTTATCACAAGCTCAGAGAGGGGGCTCATTGGTTCAGAGAGGGGACTCGGTTTTTGAGAGAACCAAATGTTGAGTTGGTACCACATGCATATACATCAATTTGCACATTGAGTCGCATTGCATAAACAAATTGTATGCATAATGATGATTGGTGTATAATGTTGAGTTGGACATGAGAATATTTTTATATAGTAATGTTGTGTGATTGTGTAGATGTTTGTACTCTACCTTGCAGTATGTAACACTTACTTTATTAATGTGATTTCTAACCCCATTGTTGTTGTTATGGTCCGTGCTCCTCCTTAGAATACATATAAGCAGGTAATTGAGTAGTTGCTTAGAGCGGAAGGAAGGTGAGAGGTTATTCTTCTTTCTTTTTTGTGTTACGTTATTAGAATTGCGTTGCTATAATCTGTAATACTGGGAGGGGAGAGCGATGTCTTTTATTATGTTATGTTAATTATAGAGTTTAATGTTATACTCTCGTCGTGATGATAACTATGATCTTTTGTGGAGATTTTTACTATGTGTTATTTAAGTTTAATAAAGTGATTGCATGAGACTTATATGATTTGTGAAGCATGTTTACTTTTATAATTCAGCTGCAGTGATACCCTAAATGAAGGTGAACATGCGATGATAGGTGTTGATTGCCTTGCTTATTAAATTATTTGTTACATAACAGATGAGTTTGATGTCGAGTAACATCCTAAGTGCAAGTATGTGTTTTATATATATGCGTTATTTTATAATAATAAGCGCATGGTTTTTAGGGTGTTAAAAGGCTCAAACATAGGTGTTGAAAACTCTTGAAGACGAGTTTCCTGGTCGAAAAGAGATGTTCAATGATTTCATGCAATGAACCTTGCAGTGCGTGTATGGGGTATGTGATCATGTTGTGGAGTAAGTGAGGAGATTTTGTCCTAATGCCATAATCTTGGCTGAGGCGCCGAACCCATTCCAGACTGATCTTAGTACCTAGGTTCTAGAAGCTTCGAATTGATTTCTCCTTTTTCCTTTATATAATTTTTATTCCCTACAATGTTTCCCAAGCTTTGCGCCTTGGGAGTAACAACTCTTAATATTTATGAACATACTTTTACCTCAATGATTTGAGTTTTGTTTAACTTAGATACATGCACTTTTGTTATGTTGTTATGTTGTTCATTGATTTCTTGTAAGTTATTGTAATTCAAATGCTCGCTCTTTTGCCATGAAATACAAAGTTTGTTTGCCTCAGTGGGATCACCGGTGTCCATCGGTTGTGATATGCTGTCTTCTTAGGGTTTGAGAACCCTTATTCCCCCTTTATGGTGTGCTCATATCTTTGTACTGCATTTCCTTCTTCTTTACGGTATCTCCTTTGGTTGGATGAGACGTCAAGGCATCCCGCCTTATCTTTACTCGCTGGCATGTAATTGGGTGGTCGACTTCATCGAAGACGTAGCTTGAGGACAACTATTGAAAACTTAGGACCATTGAATTGCCTTTGTTGAATGCTCCGATGAGGCATTTTTTGATCACTAGGGCAGAAACATCCCTACTCCCTTCTTCGCTCTTGAACCAAACACACACATACACAACAACTTCATCGCAATCTTGAAAATATCTTTCATGAATAATCTTGGAATTAGAAAAATACTCAAGAAGTCGTAAGAAAATGCAGTAAATAAAACACACATAAACCAAAAATAATCAAGAACAGAAATATTAAAGCATGTTTGAAACATCAACAAAATCATTTTGAAAAAAAAAATTCAAACCAATAAAAAATAGGAATAAAATTTTAAAAAAATGAAATAAAAAAATCAAAAAATTAAAACAAGTAGATAAAACGAGAAAATCTAAATCCAAAAAAAACGAAATCTAAAAAACCAAAAAATTTTCAGATCTATTTTTCTCCATACCTATTTTTTCCATATATGCTTTTATCCATACCTATTTTCTCAATGACATTTATATTTTTGATTTGTAACGTTTTTAATGAATGACATTTATATTTCTAAAAGACATTTTAGGTAATATGTATCATTACATTTATTTAGTTTATTTCAATTTTTTATGTTGACCAAACTTATGAGTAAAAAAAATGCTGACCTAGTTTAAATTTAAAAAATTCTTTTAGAATGGATTATTGTAAGTATGAGAATGACACACATAGATAGTTTTGATTGAAATAATTAAAAAGATCTCCATTTAAACCTACATTTATATTATTAATGAAAGAAAAAATTTTGATTTTGATTTGTCGTGCCGTCTTGAAATTCAAACATGACGACTACCTCAAATAATTCGGTATTCGCTCGCTCACATGCTGACCTTCTCTCCATTCCCGCCCGCTGTTTCCACAATCACCATGTCTCTCTCCACCGTATCCATTCCCTTCTCTCACCTCCAGGTACTCTCTCTCTCTCCTTGTTCTGTAACCGATACTTTGTTTGAATTTCACCATGGCTATGTATTGTGTGTATGAATATTATAGTTTTTGATTATCGATTGAATTGTTATGAATCTTATTCTTACAGGATAACAACTACGATTTGTCCTTGAAGATCGAGCAAGGGTTTGGACCTACTGGTTTGGGGATTCTCTCTGTCACTGATGTATGTGCATCTATCATTTTCGTTTGTATTTCTCTCACTCTTTCTAGAGATTTCGAAATTCACGTGTTTATTTTATGCCTCATGCTTACTTCATTTGAGTTAATTCTAGGTCCCAGGATACTCTTCCTTGCGCACAAATCTTTTGCATCTCGCACCAAGGTAAGTGTTTTCAGATGCCATTTTTACTTATTCTCATTGTGCATTACTTTTAAGACATCAAATGGGAAAACAAGTCCTGTACTTATCTCAGATTGGCAAGTCTTCCTAAACAAGTCAAGGATGATCTTCAAGATCCTGACAGCAGGTAACTTAACTTGTTTATTACTGAATTTTCACTTCCACTTCATTTCATTATCAAAATATTCACTTTTCTTTTTCCATTAGCTTGTAGCTTTTTACAGCTGCAAATGACTTCTTTTTCTATCCTCCTTGAATTTGTAGATATAATTTTGGTTGGAGTCACGGCAAAGAAAAACTTGAATCTGGCAAGCTTGGTGATTCTCTCATCTATTGCATCTATTCAATACTTTGGTTGTGTCCCTCTCGGAAACCTTAATTAGCACCTTCTCATTAGTTTTTGTTTGTTGCTGGTCTTTCTCTTTTGGCTGTTTCCATTTCAAATATTCATATTTATTTGAAAATTTGCTGCATTTTTAACTTCGACGTACCTTTTACATTGTATTTTGATTATTTGGTTTAATAGGATTTCTTTCCAAGTGCAGATTTATTAAAAGGATCTTTCTATGCCAATCCCATACTTGATACGCCTACAACAGATAAATCTTTGATACAACGGTAATGTGGATGACAACACATGATTTGTTATGAAAATTTTAGTTGTTTCTTGCTTTTGGCGTTCCTTATCTTATATGGATATTGTACAATTCTTGCTATATCATAATTCAACCATTATTCTTTTAAATATATGACTTTCATGCAAGATGTCATAGAATTATACTGATTTTCATGCAAGTTGTCTCTGATTAATACTGGCTTATCCATACCCATTTAGATTTATGTTTTACTTTTTGTTGTCATTTATGCATGTTGCTTAATTTCTTTAGCATAATTTGTTGTGTTATACTGTTTGTCATTCTGTATCTTTGATCATATGCAATTCCTTGGATTTTGTGTCCCCGTAGATACCCATCATATTGCGGATCAAATGTATGGCCCAGAAGCACATTACCAGAACTTGAGTTGGGTATGCCCTGATGCCTAAATTGAATTTGCATTTGCAATGTTTGTTTTTCTGATTTTGGGGGATATAGATTTCTGTGTTTTGTTATCTGTTTTCTTTCCTCGGGGTTTTAATGAACAATCATGAAGATGCTGATTGTAGGTCACACTTTGTTTTTCATGTGGTGCTATGCCTGTGCATGCAGTAATCAAACCATTTTGTGTGCTTTTGTGAAAATGACACCTTTGCAGATCATACTTTTGTGAAAATTGCAAAAAATTAATTTCAGTTAACAAGGGCTTGCTTATTATTAAGCACTTTGAGTATCATTAATCAGTTAAAGTTGAGTGTTACTAAACTTAAAATTTTTGCTCTATGATTCTGTATATATATTTTTTAAATCCTTTATGGATAAATGGTTACTAGGTGTTTTTTTTTTTTTTTAAATTGAGCTGAACCAATGTTTCAGCTTTGTCGTTTCCTTGATTTCTGGATTTTGAACTTCAATTTACAAGCTTTAGAGCATGATATTAATACAACTTCCAAATCATTTAAAATTTAGATAATGGTATAAGTTGTCCCAAATCATTTGATCTTAATGTTTTGCTGAATGATATCACGACTAGTTACATGTATACTGTTCTTTTGTTCCTGGTGTGTAGCTTTCAAAGCACTTGGGAAGCTGATATTTGATGTTGGATTGATGGTGGCATATCACTGCGATCAATATGGTAAGCCAGCTAGTGATATTTGCTTGGCTTTAGACAAAGACATCATTAACTGTGGTGTTACTCTAGCTTTTTATTTTATACACGCTTTAACTTGTTGGAACTGGACCAGTTATTTTTCCTAGGGAAGGTAATTTCCAGTCCTATTTTGAATTTTGAAATCTAATACAATTCTTTGCAAATTGAAGTGGTGTTTTGATAGAGACCAAATATGGGTCATAAGGAAAAAAGAAGTATATGTAATAATGAGTGTGGTAAGGATATAGGATAAATAAAGAGTGAGTTAGAATTCTTAGTTGGCAGGTTAGTTATGTCTTAGTAGTATAAATTGCGGTGTCAATGAATTGTATGCATTATGTTAGAATATTGAATGAACCGTTATGGTTAGGCAGAGAGAATTCATTCCTTTCTATATTGTTCTCTTTCTTCATCTATTGAATATTTTACATTGTTGATATATTTTCTTCATTTCTTATGATGGATTTTAGAGTTCCATCATGTTTCTTATACTGTTAATATAGTTTTAGGTGGATTATGAATGAGAGTTTGCATGAGAAAATGACATCTTTTGTTCATAATCATGTTCCTGTACCTCTTTTATCCCTGACTCATATCGCTCTTCTGATCAATTGTGACATTCAAAACTTGTTAGTATCCAAAGGAATAAAAGTTCATAAGGATGAAGGTCTGGAATCAATACTTAAACGCTCCCGCTGTCACAAAGGACGTTTGCTATATTATTTTCCTGCACAACAGGGGTATTTTTCTTTACAACGTCTCTTTTCTTATTAGAATACTTTTATATTGATATCTGATGTAACCACTAAGCTTATGTTTGTTGATTTACTTAAGAACATTGTCCACCAAAGTAAATGTTGATTTACTTAAGAACCCTGGATAATGGAGACTTCTACTTTAAGTTTAACCTTCTTTTGCATTTAAATACCTTAGCATGTGAGTTTGTTAGTTTTAATTTCATAAAATAATATTTCGTACTATTTTTTAAAAATGAATTGAGAATAATGTGTTAGACCTATACGTTTGATATTATAATTTGACTATCGTTTCAGGATACTGTTTTCAGGATAATGTTTTCTCTGTCTATGCATCCGGTGTCCTATTGCAGGATTAAACCTCTAAATTCTGAACCACACTCAAGTTTTAGAAGACTTAGCCCAGTGGCAATTGAGCTACGAGCTTGTTTGCATACTTTAAAATTTTGTTTCACATAAGCTGTCAAAGATATCAAATATTCTCTTTTGAAATACTGATATGATGGTCATAGAAGAACAATTACATTTTTGCTAGAAGGTTATAGGCAAAATATTACTTGCACAATAAAACTGTTTAATTTGATCAATACCTTCATCACTTTTAGGCTTAGTTAAAGTCTTGAATCATAAATATTTCAGTTCATTTCAAGTGCTGTTTAATTTGTATTTTAGCTTTCAAGTTCACTATCTGGTGTATTATTAAGTTACATATGACTTGTTACAGAATCCCAGTTGACAACTCCATGTCTTCTTGGTGTGGATGGCATACAGACAATGGTTCACTGACAGGTTATTGACATATGCTTATTTATATACAATGTAGATTCTGCTTTCTGTATATTTTTGTTCTGTTAAACGTTAACTTCTTATACTCTATTCCTCAAATCATGTTGGTTAGAGAACCCCGTGGATTTAAGAATAAACTGTTAATGAGAGTATTAATATGTAGGCCTGACTTGTGCTATATTTACAAGAGATGGTGAAGAAATACCTTGTCCTGATAGTGCCTCTGGCCTCTATATTCGAACAAGAAATGATCAAATTGTCAAGGTACACATTGTTCTTCTGGAATTGCAAGTAACTGGGTAAAGTAAATGTAGATAACTGCAACATTAAATGTTTTCTTGGTTCATCTTTCTTTCGTCCTCTCTTTCATTCATCTTATATTAAGCAGTTATTTTATAATGGTAAACTGTCTCTTTACTTTTCAGTGTTGAGAGTTCCACTTTAGATCCGATACGGGCTGAATATGTTTTTATACAAGTGGGAGACATTCCCCACCTTACAAAGCTGGTTTTGTAAGGTTGAGTTAGGTCTAGCCTAAATTCTATTAAGTAATTTGAACTGTAATTTTTTTTTGTGAAGTGGTGATTATTTATTACTTATTGGTGCATTATATTTATTTGGGTTGGATGATTACTGTACATCAATGGAAGTATGCTATTTTTTGGTCAATTATTATGCCAATTAAAATGATTACAATGTCATCATAGAACTAGTACTTATTGAATGAATCTCGTTTATGTTAGTACTCATCAGGGGAAAATGATTGATTATGAAATTTTAGAATTGCATTTTAGCAACTTCCCTAAGTTTGGGGATGAATATGAATTCTATATAACAAAGCAGGTGTGAGAAATAATGCTTAACCTTAAACAAAGAAAACATTTTATGAACTACTTTTTCCTTTTACAAAAAAGATTTAAGGATACATGCATTTGGAGGGTTTTAGATTGTAAAATCTGATACGTTATCCCTAAATGATGTAAAATATGAAGCTTAGAGTTTTTGTGAATTAGGACAATGCATTTACTCATTGTATTTTCTCTTATAGGTTGTTTATGGAGTAGATGATATAGCTTACCAAATTGGTGAAACTGCCGAAATACTTTCTGGAGGTATTCTTCGTGCCACACCTCATTGTGTTCAGGTAATACAAAAAATTCCAAAAAGGGAATTTTTTTTCTATATTTTGTGGTAGACTTGTAGCTTTTTTTATTGACATCCCGTTGAATCAAATAGTCAGTGTTTATATATTCCTTCTTATTTTCTACCCTACATCATAGATATCTTGTACTCCGCTATGCTTTTATTGATGTCACAATAGTTGTGTCTTAGTTTATTTTCTTCTAGTGATTTATAGTGTTCTTGTTTAATAAAAGGAATGCAAATAACGCAATATATATTTTCTGACCTTTGACACACTCTATTGGTCATTTCTCTAAAAAGACAATTTGCTGCTTTCTAAATATACCTTTGTGAAGAATCCGATGATTTTCTTTAAAATGGAGGAAACATATCGAAAAAAGGGTTAAAGAGTGTGTTATTGATATCTCTTAATAAGATGCTTTATAAGATTCATTTCAGCATCAAAATATGAAGTGTTATTCCTTTTTCTATTTATTTGTGCCTACTGCCTATTCCAATCTTAGACAATAGGCAGCTATATCCATTAAACCACCGGTATCCCAATCTAAGAACTCGAAAAGAAAAGAAATACAATTTTCTTCAGAAAGTTCACATTCATAAAGAGGTATGTATATTCCTGAAAGGAATGTCCCAATTCAGTAACTAGATTGGGATACTATGATTGGGATACTGGCTGTTGGCTGCACTTCAAAACATGTCCAAGTCCAATGCCAAAGCAAGTGCAACCAACATATAGTTACTTTGTCCTCAACGGTTCAGAGTTAGCCCAAATTCACTATTTGTCACTCAGATCATAGCTTTACCTTGTCTAGATACTGCTAAAGCTAATGAATTTTTCTTTGACACTTGTTCAGTTCACATTTTTTGATATAAAATTTGTATGCTATGGTACTCTTAGGCTCCAAAAGGGAAGGAGTCTTCTGGTGTTGAACGTTCAACATTTGCGTTATTCATGCAACCTGACTGGTATGTTCTATGAGAGCAACTAAGCTGTTCGGTAGCTTAAATTTTTGTTTGGATTTGTCTTCACAGAATTACAAGTTTGCACGAGGTCTATGATGCATATGAGCTCAATTTGTAATTGTGTGTTGATAATTTTGCTTTTCAGGGACGAAAAACTAAGTTTTCCTGAGGAAGTTCACATTCATAAAGAGGTATGTATATTCCCGAAAGTCCTTTATTGTTCTTCACATTCAACCATTACAGATTATGGATAAAAGATGACAGTAAAAATTAGAAAAAGAAAGAGACTTTGCAATTTTTTTTATTTGTAAGGAATAAATATGATTTCCATAGAAGTACATGTAAGACAGTAAATGTCTTTATACAATTATTAACAATTGTGTTATCTGAGCTATAAAAATTAGACAAATAGATGGTTAATTACGATTAGTAGACGCTTAATAGATATACCAGTGTCAAAACTCATTAACAATCAGCATAATTTCATTAACCACTAATCTAGACGTTTTAACCACAATTTTCATGCGTTCAAACCTCAAATTTACATGTAGTAGCTGAACATAGGAAATTATTGATAACCACATCCAAAGTTGTAGTTAATAAAGTTATGTTGGTGGTTATTTAGTTTCGACAACTGATTAATCTATTAACCATCTATGGCATGTAATTAACTACTTATTTGAGATAGTTGTGTATATTTGATTGCAAAAAGTCATTTTTTCTATTATTAAATAGATATCTACATTTCTTGTCAATAACGGGTTGAATTTTTTTTTTATTCTTTTATTTTTCCAGCTTATACCATCAAATGCTTCCCTTACTTACGGAGAGTATTCAGAGATGGTGCTTGGCAAATATTACGACAAAAAATAGTAATGTACACACCTTAGTCACTTATGTTGATTGGTAATTAAAAACCATATTTTTTGGCATTGGATTTTGTTTCATATCTATCAATCTGTTTCATTTTTTCAGTGTTCTTTAACTCATTCTAATTTGCAGGGTCTAAGGTGTTAGTTACTCTCTGAACTTTTCACCGTAGAAGTAATTGGCTGAAGACATGGCCCATACTAACTAACTGTTAATTCAAGGGAGTAAAATGAAGCTGTGCAGAAGTGTCATGGTAATAGGATAAGAAATAAATAAAAATTCTTGTAACTCACGTTGAATAAAAATAAAGCTTGATGGCCAATCAAATAAAAATTTCAATAGTTTAACAAATTTATGTTTATATCTTAAAATTTTAGTTATATGAAGAATAAAGTGTTGCAAGTTTTAACTTTTTGTTGTTGATATTAGTTAAAATATGAGAATTTTTATATTAGTCATTATTTCCTCTATTTTTTATTATATTTATATGGTTACTATTATAAAAATAACTATTGGATAAACTATAAATTCACTTTAAAAATTCTATTCTCATACATGAGAAATTAAGAATATTGTTGTTTATCTTTATTTTATTTTGTTTGAATAATAAGAAAAAAGTGATATAGGAAGGCTAGTTGCGCGTATCGAAGAAGATTTTGCGCGTTGAAAGATATTTTAATATTTAAACAATTTTTTATTTTAATATTTAAATAATTTCTATTTTATTTATTTTATTTAATTCTGTTTTAGATTAAAAGTCCATTAAAGATATTTTGTTTTATGTTTTTAAAGATCTTTGACATATGATTTTAAGGATTATCTTTTATATAATAAAATTTGAAGTTTTTTATTTTTTATTTCTGGTGGACTCCAAAGTTTATATAATAAAATTTAAAGTTTTTTATTTTTTATTTCTGGTGGACTCCAAAATTTATCTGACAAGTTTTGCGCATGTAAAGTTGGCATCAGAGCAAGTTTCTCTTGTTCTTTTCGTAGCTTGACAACCATGGCGGATCAACCGATGACCAGAGCAGATCTTGAGGAAATTGCCACAGTTTTTACTGTGGCTCTAACTGCCTTAACTGAACAGATGTCGAATTTTGTAACACCCTAAACTACCTGACGAATAATAAAGAAATATCAGAGTAATTTGAAAACAATTTAACGATCGTTTAGGATCAACATTTTCAGAACATACAAAAACCTGCTCATATTAAGTATAAGATACATAACACATATAATGAATGAACCACAACATCAAATCATAGTCTTCAATGTTAACTTTTAGTAATGCAGCGGAAAAGAATCATATTCGAAGTCAAACAAATCTCTTAAAAATAGATCAACAAGTATTCAAATTCATAGAGTTCTTAAGACTCCAAACAATTACTAAACAACAAAATAAATAAGCGTTCATCCCCCGGTGTTACATATCAGAGCAATGACACCAACTCGAAAATAAAATAAACGGCCTCTCCTAATTCTTGCCGCCTCAGACTACTTATGACTATTTGCACGATGCCGTATAAAGCATCATTCCAACAGAAGGGTGAGATATCAAAACAATATAAGAGAATGTATAATAATAAGTATACAAAGAAGATAATCATGCATAGTCATGCATTCCACATCTCACACATTCACACCATCAACAACAACTATATCACATTTTGATCATACAATCACACATACTCATCCATACATATCAATAACCATCATGTAGTACATACACCAATTACACAACTCAAACATCATGTTAGCAACAATGCAATGCAATGAGACCGACTCACAGACTCAATGCATGTAGTGCCGTTATCGTTCCTGAATCCACGCATCTAGGACCAGAGCCACCAATATCATGAACAATTTGGTTCACCTCGCTCCTGATCCACGCCATCTAGGATCAGAGTCAACCCACATCATGAACGATGAGGTTCACATCGCTCCTGATCCACGCCATCTAGGACCAGAACCAACAAACAGGACCAAACTCTCCAACAGGAAATGCTTGTGACACAATCATGCAATAAAACAACACATATTGATATATACATCTACCAATGTGACACACCAATACAGCCACCATCTGCCCACACATACAACATACCAATTATACATTCCAAACAACATCGCACAATATTATCATACACAAGTGCATGCATATATCTCAGCATAACAGACATAATTGCATACAGAAGAGCATAAGCTCCCAACAAATAATCACCTATTGGGTTAAAAAGTATTTTTATAAGATAGAAAATATTTTCAACTTTCCGTAGGTTTCAACGGTGCGTCAAACAGACACTCGAGTCAAAAGTTATGGATTTTCGAAGTTTCAAAAATAATTCTGCCCAGACTGCTCGCTTGAGGCTCGCTCGGCGACTGGGTCTGTCGCCTAAGGCTCGCCCGACGAAGCACAAGCGAAGCCACACCTCCATAAAAATTCCAAGATCACTTATTTTCCATCCTTTCTTTCGCCCGCTCTCTTGCTCGAAGAGGCTTGAGCGAATGCTCTTTCTTGGCGACGCAAGAGGCTCGCCAGACAAAGCGTGTCTGACAACAACGTTGCTATTGCGATTCCTCCACTGAACCAGTCCAAAATTGCATACAATTTCACATCATAACATTTCCCAATCTATAAAAAATCAATATTTTATCATGCCACAATAACAACACATCATCATACATATTATAAGCACCAATTCATATGAATCACACACTTTAAATTCATCAATTTCATCACTAATTCACCATGTCAACAAATTATTATAAAACCCCAACCAAACCTAAGCCTCTACTAATGGTGATAAGAAAATTACCTCTATACAATCATCCTTATACAAACCCTTAAAGAGTTGGAACCCCACCCTTAACTTGGATTGACGGTTCCTAAGTTTCAACAATAGAATATTCTTGCCCTAACTCTCTTAACCTCCTTGCCTTCTCTTCTCTTCATAATTTGATCCTACACAATGATCATTCTCAACCTCACTTCTTACTTTTTAATAGTTTAACCCTTAGACCCCTATTATGATCTTCCATTCTTACCCTCACTAAACCTCAAGCAATGACCATCTTACCCTCATTATTTCTACTCATATTATCTAATTTAATTATTAAATAAATCCTAACAATTATTCTAAAATCTTAATAATTCCAACTAAATTATCTAAATTCAGAATAATTCTCATTACTACTTTAATCTGACACTACTCCTCATATAATATTACCAACCCATCTATTGCACCAAATAAATCACAGACAAAAATGCTCATCAATGCAAAAAATACACAACATCAAATAAATAATTTATTAAAATAATTAAATAAATAATCAGGGTGTTACAAATTTAGCAAATCAGGTGAACAACAACAACGAGAATCACCGAAGAGACAGGAGAAGAGACCATGTAAGGGTTTTGTTGTACCCAAAAAATTTCCCTCTTTTTTCTCAAGACATTTCTCACAAGATCTTCAAATAACTCAAGTTTGCACAAGTGATGATTAGGTCAAACCACCTCTTAAACACTGATGCCCCAAATTAGGGTTTTGATTTTCACAAGGACAAATGGACTTCTAATGTCTCAAGTGACTTTCATGAATCATTATAGACCTCCAAGAATACTCATGTCAAGTTTCAAGTCTTGAATCACAATTTTGCTTAGTCAATTGATTAGATGACTAAAAAACAACTATATTGGTTAAAAAGTCAACTGTCATCAACTTACAGTCAAACTTCAATTTTTTTAACCAATATCAACAATTTGAAGTCATATTCATCAATTGATCCAGTTTGGATCACAATTCCTCAAGAAAAGTGTTCAATTCACCAAAAAGGGCAAAATGGTCAAAATTAGGGTTTTTGACTAGAATGGCCGGTTTTTGACTTTTGAGCTAATACCTGACTTATTGGTTTGAAACATGATTTCAAGGATTCAAGTACATGATTTTTACCTAATTTCATGACTCAATTCACCTCTCAAGATCAAACAATTGATAGATGAAATTTGGTCAACTGATGAAAAGTCAACTAATACACCAAAAGTCAAACTTTGACTTTTTGATCAAAATTGAGTTTCAAAATTCAAGATTCATCAAGACATTCAAAAATATGAAGCTTGATCATCAAGAAATCAAGAAAGTCAAAAATCAATTTGAAAAGTCAAACTTTTCAAGACTTAGAAATTTTTCTAAGTGTTTTTGTACACGATAATTTTACTACTTCATGCCAATTTTTCACCAATATCCAAGATGATTTAATGAAAACTCTCAACATGAAAGTTTTATATCTTGATTAAATCTACCACTTTGTATTAGAGGGCTCATATCCAAAAAATGCTTAGATTTTAAGTTATAGGCCCATGAAGTCATGCACTTTTTCTTAAACACTTAGTGAAATTTTGACCTAGTTTAGGCAAATTTTTTGTCCCAACTTCTTGGCCATTTTTCACATAGCTCCAATTTGATTTAGAAAAAAATGGAAAACATGAAAGTTGTATAGGATGTTTCAAGCTTTTCAAAATGTCCAAGAACTTGAAGAGATCATTTTCGAGCTAAGAAAATCGAAGAGAGGAAGTTAGGCATCCATTCTTGAATTACAAGGCATTTTTGTGATGAACACTTGAGCAAAACCCTAGCCTATGCTGCATAACTTCACTTTGAAGGCTTCTAACTTGTGTTTCACTCCATAATTAATTGATTACACAACTGATAGAGCCATTATTCAAGCATTTGAGCTCTTATCCAAGTTGCATTTCCATTAATGGCACAAAGTAACATTGCCATTCTAGTAAAGTGGCTTTAATCACAAAGACAACTTGTCTTGAGCATTGAACTTGTTCTTTCTGCACAAGCTTCCTCCACAAAGTCATATAAACATGTTTAAAGTTTGCTAGCCCCCTACAAGCCATGCACCTTTCCTTGGAACAATGCTTGTCAAGCTTACTTCTAAAACAAGTCAAAATCCATAAACATGTGATCTTGTGATTCTGACCACCTCAAGCC